GTTGACTACGATGAGACTTTCTCACTCGTAGCGATGCTAAGAGTCTGTCGGAATTATATTAGCAATTACTGCATTATTTATGAAATCTTGCAGATAGGATGTCAAAACATTGTTTCCTCGATGATTCTTGAGGAAAGGTTGTATGTGATACAACCGGAAGGTTTTGTCTATCCTGAAATATGCTAATAAGTATGCAAAGCTCCAGCAATCCTTCTGAGGACTGGAGTGAGCATCTCGGAGTTGGAATGTATGCTTTGATGATGATCAAAGATTTTGGGTGTATACAAAGTTTATGAGAAACTTGTATTTCCAAAGAAGTGAGTGGGAGCACTATAGAATTTCTGATGAGTATATGTTGTTGACATATTAATGATCAGAAATGACGTAGAATTTCTGGAAAGCATATAGGGTTATTTGGAAAGTGTTTTCAATGGAAAACCTGGATTAAGCTACTTGAACATTGAGCATCAAGATCTATAAGGATAGATCAAAACGCTTAATAGTACTTTCAAATGAGCACATGCCTTGACGTGATCTTGAAGGTGTTCAAGATGGATCAGTCAAAGGAGTTCTTGCCTGAGTTGTAAGGTATGAAGTTAAGACTTAAAGCTCGACCATGGCAGAATAGAGAGAAAGGAACGAAGGTCGTCCCCTATGCTTAAGACATAGGCTCTACAGTATGCTATGCTGTGTACCGCACCTGAAGTGTGCTTTACCATGAGTCAGTCAAGGGGTACAAGAGTGATCCAAGAATGGATCACAGGACAGCGGTCAAAGTTATCCTTAGTAACTAGTGGACTAAGGAATTTTCTCAATTATGGAGGTGGTAAAAGAGTTCGTCGTAAAGGGTTACGTCGATGCAAGCTTAACACCTATCCGAATAGCTCTGAGTAGAGATACCGGATACGTATAATGGAGCAACAATTTAGAATAGCTCCAAGTAGAACAGTTATTTGGAATAGCTCCAAATAGAACGTGGTAGCTGCATCTAGGAGATGACATAGAGATTTGTAAAGCACACACGGATCTGAAAGGTTCAGACCCGTTGACTATAACCTCTCTCACAAGAATAACATGATCAAACCCAGAACTCATCGAGTGTTAATCACATGGTAAATGTGAACTAGATTGTTGACTCTAGTAAACTCTTTGGGTGTTAGTCACATGGGGATGTGACCTTGAGTGTTAATCACATATCGATGTGAACTAGATTATTGACTCTAGTGCAAGTGGGAGACTGTTGGAAATATGCCCTAGAGGCAATAATAAATTGATTATTATTATATTTCCTTGTTCATGATAATCGTTTATTATCCATGCTAGAATTGTATTGATAGGAAACTCAGATACATGTGTGGATACATAGACAACACCATGTCCCTAGTAAGCCTCTAGTTGACTAGCTCGTTGATCAATAGATGGTTACGGTTTCGTGACCATGGACATTGGATGTCGTTGATAACGGGATCACATCATTAGGAGAATGATGTGATGGACAAGACCCAATCCTAAGCCTAGCACAAGATCATGTAGTTCGTATGCTAAAGCTTTTCTAATGTCAAGTATCATTTCCTTAGACCATGAGATTGTGCAACTCCCGGATACCGTAGGAGTGCTTTGGGTGTGCCAAACGTCACAACGTAACTGGGTGGCTATAAAGGTACACTACGGGTATCTCTGAAAGTGTCTGTTGGGTTGGCACGAATCGAGATTGGGATTTTGTCACTCCGTGTAAACAGAGAGGTATCTCTGGGCCCACTCGGTAGGACATCATCATAATGTGCACAATGTGACCAAGGGGTTGATCACGGGATGATGTGTTACGGAACGAGTAAAGAGACTTGCCGATAACGAGATTGAACAAGGTCTCGGTATACCGACGATCGAATCTCGGGCAAGTACCATACCGCTAGACAAAGGGAATTGTATACGGGATTGATTGAGTCCTTGACATCGTGGTTCATCCAATGAGATCATCGTGGAACATGTGGGAGCCAACATGGGTATCCAGATCCCGCTGTTGGTTATTGACCGGAGAACATCTCGGTCATGACTACATGTCTCCCGAACCCGTAGGGTCTACACACTTAAGGTTCGATGACGCTAGGGTTATAAAGGAAGTTTGTATGTGGTTACCGAATGTTGTTCGGAGTCCCGGATGAGATCCCGGACGTCACGAGGAGTTCCGGAATGGTCCGGAGGTAAAGATTTATATATAGGAAGTCCTGTTTCGGCCATCGAGACAAGTTTCGGGGTCATCGGTATTGTACCGGGACCACCGGAAGGGTCCCGGGGGCCCACCGGGTGGGGCCACCTGCCCCGGGGGGCCACATGGGCTGTAGGGGGTGCGCCTTGGCCTACATGGGCCAAGGGCACCAGCCCCTAGAGGCCCATGCGCCAAGATATAGGAAAAATGGGAGAGTCCTAAAAGGGGAAGGCACCTCCGAGGTGCCTTGGGGAGGATGGACTCCTCCCCCCCTCTTAGCCGCACCCCTTCCTTGGAGGAAGGGGCAAGGCTGCGCCTCCCCCCTCTCCCCTGCCCCTATATATAGTGGAGGGGAGGGAGGGCATCCATACCTGAGCCCTTGGCGCCTCCCTCCCTCCCGTGACACCTCCTCCTCTCCCGTAGGTGCTTGGCGAAGCCCTGCAGGATTGCCACGCTCCTCCATCACCACCACGCCGTTGTGCTGCTGCTGGATGGAGTCTTCCTCAACCTCTCCCTCTCTCCTTGCTGGATCAAGGCGTGGGAGACATCGTCGAGCTGTACGTGTGTTGAACGCGGAGGTGCCGTCCGTTCGGCACTAGGATCATCGGTGATCTGAATCACGACGAGTACGACTCCATCAACCCCGTTCACTTGAACGCTTCCGCTTAGCGATCTACAAGGGTATGTAGATACACTCTCCTTCCCCTCGTTGCTAGTCTCTCCATAGATAGATCTTGGTGACACGTAGGAAAATTTTGAATTTCTGCTACGTTCCCCAACACTACTTTGTGAGTGCACCGTTCATACGCAACTTGGCCTGACCCATTTTTTGTCCTGGTTGCAAGTCCACCCTCGACACGCAACTGGGTCCCGACCACTTTTGTCCCTGTTACAAGTCCACCCCCGACATGCAAGTCCACCCTACAAGCCCAGTTTGACTCGTAACTGGGCATGTGTTTTGTCTTTCGTTCTAGTTGCAAGTTGACCATTGACTTGCAATTGGGCTTGTAGTTTCGTAGTTGTCCTAGTTGCAAGTCCTCCTTTCACTTGCAACTGGGTTCATATTTCTCCCATCTACAAGGCCACCATCGACTTGCAACTAGGCATGTTTTTGGTTTTCATCCCAGTTGCAAGTCCACCCTTGACTCGCAACTGGGACAATAGTTTGTTTCATTTCAGTTGCAAGTCGACCCTTGACTCGTAAATGGGTTCGTTGGTCGTAGTTGTCTTAATTTCAAGTTCATCCTCGACTCGCAACTGGGACCACAGTTTTGTTGTTGTCCCAGTTGCAAGTCCACCCTCGACTTGCAACTCTGTCCATATTTTTGTTGTTGTCCTAGTTGCAAGCCCACACTCGAGTCACAACTTGACATGAGTTTTGTTTTTCATCTCAGTTGCAAGTCCACCCTTGAGTCGTAACTGAGCTCATAGTTTTTGTTGTCCTAGTTATAAGTCCACCCTCGACTTGCAACTAGGCTCATATTTTGTTTTATCCCAGTTGCAAGCACACCCATGACTCGCAACTAGGCCCGTGTTTGGTCTTTCATCTCAGTTGCAGGTCCATCTTTGACTCGCAACTAGGACCGTAGTTTGTTTATCCTAGTTGCTAGTTGACCCTTGACTCGCAGCTGGGCTCGTACGTAGTTTGTAGTTATCCCAGTTTTGTGCCCATCCTCGAGTCACAACTCAGCTTGTAGTTCACCTAGTTGCAAGCGCACCCTCGACTCGTAACTAGGCATGTGCATTGTTTTTAATCCTAGTTGCAAGTCCACCTTTGACTCGCAACTGGTCCCATAGTTTGTTTCATCCCACCCTCAATTCTCAACTACTAGTCTTGTCCCCCGACTAAATTGCACACCTTCAATGCTATGCAACTAGGCGTGGTTGGGTTGGATTTCGAAATTGGCGTTGTGGGGGGTAATCACATGTCCAACATTCTTTTCGACGAAAAACAAGAACAATCCCTCACAAACTTCTAGAAAATGTCGAGATTTTTTTAATGCGTGAAGTTTCTTTAGAAAATTGCCACGAACATTTCTTTGAATATTATGAAACTTTTTTTCATTCTATAATACATTTTTTAAACATCACTAACATTAATTTGAAATGCATGAACATTTTTTAAATGGTGCAAAAGAATTAATTGACAGTTTATGATTAAAATTAAAAAAACTCAATGAATTAGTATTTTTTTAAATGATTGGAATTTTCAAAAGTGTCCACACTTTGAAAACTGTTTGGGGATTTTCATAAATTGTTCGTGCTTTTTAAATTTTGTTAATGAAGAAATTGTTCGGAATACCATATTTTGTTCTTATTTGTAAAAAAACGTTCGGAACTACAAAGTTTATTCACATTTCAAAAAGACTGTTTCAAATTATAATTTTTTTTGTGTTTTTGAAACATACTGGACACTTCAAATTGTTCACAATTTCTAAAAAAAAGGTTTCAAAAAATTGCAAGATTGTTTTCTAATCTCAACAGTATACTATGTTCTTATATACTCCCCTCTTAATAATAATCAATAGCAGCTATCTATTGGAATGGTAGGAGCCCGTGGTGACCAGCATGTTGCCGCGAGTTTGATTCCTAATGCGGCGCACGTTCTCAGTTCATTTTTTTGTCAGTCGGCCGAAAGAAAAAAAAGAAAGAAACGACGCGAAAAGAAACAAATAAGAAAACAATCTACTGACGTCACAACTTAGATGTGAGATAATATCTCACGTCTAGGTGTGATATAGTCAGACCCATTCTAGATTATAACATGGGACTGCGTATAAACAATATAAAAGCATCACGGAACAATCTTGAGAACCTTCATCTTGTCAATCCATGCGTTGAAGGAGCTGGCCGTGTTACGGAAGCCGAGGAATCCATGCTCCTTGCTCTTGTTCATGCTATCCAGATGCTCGATCTCAACATTGAACATGGCGTCGACGAACCACCAATTGGCGATCTCATGGAGCCCCGTCGTGACAAGCTCATTCTCCCGGAGAATCTCTGCCCACACGGCCTCCTTCCCCGCCATGGCGTCGGCGAGCACGAACCGGCTGCCCTCTCCCTCATACCCTGCCCATTCCACCCCGAAACGATCGGCCAGCATCGGCCAGAGCTGCTTCCACTTGAACACATCCCCATTGCTGCAATTGAAAGCTTCATTCTTTGCGAACGGATCCACGGCTGCCCAGATCTCGTGCTCGGCGATGAGGTCCGCGTCCGAGGCGTCGCTGAAACCCTCCCAGGCGACCCTGCAGCCAGGCCATCTCAGCACGGCGCCCTCCTTGCGGCAGATGGCAGCATAGACGCATAGGCTGGCGACGATATTCATGGCGCTCCGGGCAGAGAACCCAAAGACCACGGAAGGACGGTGCACAGACCAGCTGACGGCGCCGTCGCGGCGGGAGACCTCATCGAAGAGGGTATCCTCCAGGTCGTAGTAGAAGTTGGGGTAATCCAGGCGGGGCATGTCCTCGGTGTAGGGCGGGTCTGGGACACCTAGCTTGCCGACGGCCTCGAAGGGGCCGACGTAGTGCTTGCGTCCGGTCTGGAGGCAGACGTGGGCGAGTGCGGGGCAGCCCGGGACGACGACAGACAGCACGTTGCGGAGCATGGCGGAGTTGGCCTCCCGATTCTGAGCCTCCGTCGGGTCGCTGGACCACGCGGCGTAGAAGACATGACTGATGTCGGTGAGCGGTGTGAGAGCCTCCGCTACGGCCGCCGGGTCGGCCAGGTCGAGGTACAGATGCGTGATGGCGGGGGAGGGCGGCGGGCACCAGGGAGGGAGCGGGCGACGGGAGACGGCGTACACCTTCCAGGGTCCGCCGGGGGTGTCGTCGCGCGGGAGTATGTCGACCAGCGAGGTGCCGACGATGCCGGTAGATCCGACGACGAGGGCGACACTCTGAAAGGAGGACGCGGCGCGCTCGTCCTGGCTCTTCTTGACGGCACCCACCGCACCCGCCCACCACCAGCTCATCGCGGATGTCATGGCAGCTAGGCTGACCCCGTCACTCGGCGGTGAAGCAGCAAGGAGAAGCTCAGGTAGAGTAAATTGCTGAAAGCCACCACATTTGTGGCATGAATACTGCAAAACCATCACTTTTGTCGAAAATTTCAAAAAACCACCACTTCCTTGGCAAGTGAGTAACAAAAAGCACTAAACGTGCTGTGAGCCGCGACTAAGTGAAAAACTGACATGCCTGGCCCACATGTTAGGCTGACTTGGCAAAGAATAAACAGTAGAGAGGTGACTAGGCTCTGGCATTTCGTCGAGTACTTCGTGTGCACGCACAACACCTACTCCGTCGGTCCAGCTCTTCTCCGGCGATGCTGCCCCTCCGTCTGCACCCCGACGAGCTCCGCCCCTCCTCTGCGCGCGGTGAGCCTCGACGCCACCACTCGCCCACGCCATGGCCGCCCACCAAGACCCGCTGGTCGAAGCCGGGCACGGCAGCTCGTGCCCTCCTCCGGCAGTGCCGTGCACCGCCTCCCTGCAGCGTCACGTGGTGGCGGATCGATTGTTGCAGGCAGAAAACGGACGCAGAAGCAAGCGGATCGAACGAATCGGGAGCCGCGGCGTCGACCTGCTGCTGGCCAGGGTAGATCGATTCGTCCACGTACGGCCATGCTGCGGGCGACTCTGGCGGCAGGCTCCCGCCTCCCCATCGACCTCCCCTGCCTCCCTACTCTCGGGATCCGGCTGTTCCCCACATCGTCGGAGTCCAAGTCACCGCCGCTCGAGGAGCCGTCCTGCGCGACACCATGCCGCGCGAGGAGATGCTCCGCCCGAGCCGCTCGCCAGCATCTCGCAGTTGGGTACGGCCGCGTCCGCCGCCGCCAGTCGTCGAGGAGCGCCCCCTAGCTCCGCCGTCCTGCAGCAGCATCGAGCTCAAGCCGCCGGCGGATAGGAAGAGGGAGAGAGGGAAGAGAGATGTGAGGAGGAAGACGAAGGTGTGGGGCTGACATGTGGGCCCTTTGCCACATCAGCATATTATCCATCTAGGCATGCCAAATTAGCCTGACATGTGGGGCCAACACGTCAGTTCCGCTGTTAGACGCGTCTCAGTTTCAAATTAGTGCGATTTGTTACTCACTTGCCGCAGAGTCGGTGATTTTTTGTGATTTTTGACAAAAGCGGTGGTTTTGGAGTACTCTAGCCACAAATGTGGTGGCTTTGAGCAATTTACTCGCTCAGGTACAGGTACAGCACAGGCTTTGTTTGCATTAGAGCATCTCCATCCAACAGGCGCACTAAATAGGCGCCGCGCCCTAAATATACCCACTTTAGCGCGCGCGCAACCCGGCGGATGGCTACAGCGGGCGTGCAATAACCGCGCGTGCGGTATAAGCAGTTGGGCGCACGCTAGGAAGCGGTACCTCGCGCGATGTCTTTGCTGCGCCCGCTTCCGTGCGCGGCACACACGACGCTCGCGCTGCGCTCTTCTTCTCCCCCTCCAAAGCCCCGCGCGCGTTGGCGCCGGCGACCCGCACCCATGGACGCACGCGCCGGCACCCCGCTCATCCCGTCCTATAGCCACGACCCCCCAGTCGCCGCCGCCGCAAACCCTAGCCCGGGTGGCGTTGGCCTCGCCTCCGCCGGAGCTCCTCCGACGAGCGGCCTCGCGCGCGGCCTCTTCATGCCGCCGCGGATGACCTCGGCGGCGGATGGCGTCGCGCCGGCGCCGGCCCGAGCCGCCGCCCCCTCCTCCTCAAAGCTCCCCAATGCGGCGCGGCCAAAGAAGGGCAAGACATCGGCCAAAGAAGGGCAAGACATCAACTTGTTTGTGTGAAATTTTTGTTGTGTTAAAAATGTTCATCGTTTTGTGTAGAAAAATGACATATGCAATGCACCGGCGAGTCATGCGCGCTGCATTTTGGCGCGCTACTGGAGCGGCGCGCGCTGCATTTTAGCGCGGCTGCTGGAGACCTGCGCTGCGCGCCGCTCCAAATCAGACGATGCACGCGGCATATATGTTTTTTGCGCGTGGCGCGACCGGCGCCTGTTGGAGATGCTCTTGCAACGGAGGACTCTGATCGTTTTATAGAGAACTATGAGCTATAGTACGTGTGCAGTGACGCACGCGTCGTAGACCAGAAATTTACTCGAAAGAAGATAGACTAGCTAGCAACAGAACCAGATATTTTCGGTGGCGAGATTAATTAATCAACAACAATAATATTATTCAACTCGAGAAGTGCTGCGTGTGTTGGACTGCTTTCGTGGCCATTTGGCTCGAGGTGTTGTTATTTTTCTGGTTCAGATCCACGTGTTTCTTGCGTGGTGGCGGCTTGGGTGTTGGGCGGGCCGCCATTGTTACCGAGAAGCGACACGACTAATTAGCACAAGCTAATTAACAGACACACTTATTAATTCTTCGTGTAGATGAGATTCACTGATGTCTCATTTAGACCTCTTTCATTCGCAGGTTTCTAAAAACGCGGGACTAGTATTAATTTAGGATTGGAATGTCTTGTTCATCTCAATCCTTGTTTGATTGCAGCATAGAAAAAACAAAGGATTTTTTTAAAAAGGTGAGAGTGGATGCTAGAAATTCTATATCAAGTAGTACAAACAAATTCTTAGAAAAAATTCCTATAGAATCAAACAACCAACATAGAAAAAAAATCCTAAGAATCCTAATCCTCTAGAATTCCTACTAAAATCATTTGGACTAAAGGAGCCCTTAAGTTATCCTCCACATGATCTGAGGTGTTGAGATTCTTGCAGAAACAAAAATTGTCCCGCGTCGCTGGAATATCCTATTTGCCGCTCGCTGCGGCAAGTTGTCGGCAGACGCACAGGGAGATCAATGGAGGGTTCGCGCGTGGGCCGGCCCGTAAAATGTTTCGACAATTCTGGTTTTACGAACCTTCTCGTTTGTTCCCAGCTGGTTTTATCCGGTTTTGGGAACCTTCTAGGAGCTTCCTAACACTTTTTTCTCTGTTTCTTTTCGTTTTTCGTTTTCCTTTTTCCTGTTTATTCTTTCTTCTCTATCTTTCCTTTTCATTCCTTTTCTACTTTTTCAACTTTTCTTTTTCACCTTTTTTCTTTCTGTTTCTTTTCTTTATTTTTCCTCATCTTCACTTTTTCATTTTTCATAAATTTAAAAATGTTCAAACTATTCAAATTTTGTTTGCATGTAAAAAATATTCGTTCTTTACAAAAATGTTTGAAGTTTAAAAAATTGTTCGCTTATTGAAAAATATGTTCAAATTTTAAAAAATATGTTCTGGTTTTAAAAATATTGTTCATGTATTGAAAAAATGTTTGAATTTCCAAATTTTTAAAAAGGTTCTAAATTTTCAAATTTGTTCTACAATTTAAAAAATGTTCGTGCTATCTAAATTCCTTTCTTTCAAAAATGTATTCGAGTTCTCAAATTTTGTTCACAAATGCAAAATATTCATAGATCTAAAATTTTGTTCACAAAATTCAAAAAATGTTCATCCTTTCAAATTTTATTTAGGAGTTTGAAAAAATGTTCCTCTTTCAAAATTCATTTGAAAATTTAAGAAAAATGTTCGTGTTTTCCAATTTTGTTCGGTAGTTTCAAAATTTGTTTCTATGTTAAATTTTGTTTGCAATTTTCAAGAATGTGTCTGTTTCTAATTTTGTTTGGGAGTTTCAAAAATGTTCGAATTTTAAAAAAAAGTTAACGAATTTGAAAACTGTTCATCTTCTTTTCTTTTTTTTTCTGCTTTTTCCTCCTGTTCCTTTTTCCTTTTTAGAGTATTTCACAGTTCTAAAAAATGTTCCTGATTTGATAAAAGTTTTCATATTTCTCAAAAAATGTTCGAAAATTAAAAAAATAATTTTCAAATTTTGTTTCCGAGATCGAAAAAATGTTCTTGTCTCAAAAAATTTTGACGGATTCCAAAACTATTCGCATTTTCAAATTATTGTTCAGAGTTTCAAAAAATGTCACTTTTAACAAAAATTTGTTCACATATTCAATAATGTTCGTGATTTTCAAAAAAGTGTTCAGTTTATCAAAAATTTGTTCGGATATTCAATAAATGTTCGAGCTTTTTTTCTTCTTCTCAAACTTGAAAGGTGTTTGCTTTAAAAAAAACATATTTCCAAAATAATGTTCACGTTTAGAATTTGACAAAATGCTCAGATCTATATTACCTGTAATTGCGCGCGCCTTTGCAAACCACGAAGCTCATCTATCCCGTTGGCTATGCTCTTGCATAAGCAATAACAGGTCCGTGGTTCGATCCCTTCCTCGAGCACACTTTTTTGGGGATTTTTCATTGTGTTATGCTAATGGGCCGGCCCAGCTGGAGTCGCGCCTGTGCGTCCGCTCGGCAATTCGCCGCAACGAGCAGCACATAGGAACTCCCCGTGTCGCTGACTCCCCTTGTTGTTGTTTGTCAGGCCATTTTCTTGTTTTGGGCCGCGTCGACGTTTGTCTCCATGTTTGCATGGGCCTCTGTTTTTTCTTATGTGGATTGCGTTCACAAGTCTGTGCTTGCTGTAGAGTTGGAAGAGTTGCATGGGCCTCTCGTTTGGATTCTTTTCACCCCCAATCAACGCTCTCTCTTTCCCACCCTCATTCCATTTTCCATCTAGCAGAGTGTGTGGTGAGTATAAAGGGAGTCGACTCGGGTCGCTCTTGTTCACTCGATGAAGAGATGGTAGGACAAACGGATGTGGTGAGTGATCTAGGATCGATCTGATCCCTCCCTATTATTTTTAATGTGACACGTGTTGTATATGTCACATGTATAGGTGATCATCGAAGGTATTCTTCCACTGAAGGTATTCGCCCCACGTGGTGTATGCGCCCTCGAGCTCACTGAAGGTATTCTTCCATCTTTAACACGTATAGTTCATCCGACCTAGTTGCACATACACTCTCGACATGTAATTTGCACCATCCCAACCTAATTGCATGTCCATCCAGAACATGCAACTTGCCTCGCGATTGATCTCGTCATATGTCCATCCTAGCCATGCAATTTTTCTAAGAT